GGTTAGTGAAACTATACGTGATGAGAGTGGACAGTCTATGCACAATTTGTCAAAACGTTTGAAGCGTTCAGCTAAGCATTTGGAAAAGCAATTTAATCGACCGGAATTGTTCGATTCCTCACCGACCAGTGGTCGCCCTGCTCCGTGGGCTGTCCCTTTGGATCCGCCCTCTCGCTCAGAAGTCAAACAGTCAGATCGGACTGTTGAAGTTAAACAAAGCTGCGGGACCAGATGATCTTCCACCAGCGCTCTTCAAATTCGGGGGCTCTGCTCTTGTTGATGATTTACATGAGTTACTACTGAAACTGTGGGAGCAGGAAACTGTCCCAACCGACTGGAGCCGCTCCGTTATTGTTCCCATCTTCAAAGGAGGCTAGCGTTCGGAATGCGGCAACCATAGAGGAATCAGTCTGATCCCTATCGCCTCCAAATTATTTGCCTCTGTCATTCCTCACAGACTGAATGACATTCGTGTAATCCAGACTCGTAAAGATCAAGCCGGGTTTCGTCGGGGTCATGGCTGCATCGACCACATCTTCACCTTGCATCAGTTGTTGGAGCACCGTCACACAGATTGACGGCCCACTGTAGTCGTGTTTCTCAACATCAAAGGTGCCTTCGATTCGGTTGATCGATGTGCCCTTTGGAATTGTCTACTCAGGAAAGGTGTGCCCGAGAAATATGTAAATATTATCCAAGCATTATACGCGCGTAGCACGGGCAGAGTGAGGGCTTACGGCAAGCTGTCGTCGCCCTTCAATATCTCCAGCGGTGTGAGACAAGGATGCCCGCTGTCACCTTTCCTCTTCAACTTCGCCATTGACGAAGTCATGGAGATTGCATTTACAGGACATGACCTAGAAGGTGTGAAGCCACTCCCAGGAGAACGACTTCTTGACTTGGAGTATGCAGACGACATTGCCCTCATCGGTGACAGCTCCCAGACGTGCCAAGCCGCGCTGGACAGATTAGCACTGGCTGTCAGTCGCTTCGGGCTTTGTTTTGTGCCATCGAAATGCAAAGCGTTCCTCCAAGATTGGCAGGAATCGCCTCCTGCGCTGACCCTTGGTGAGGATCAGCTAGGAGTCGTTCGGAAATTCAACTAACTGGGAAGCTGTATCAGCGCCCTTACTATCGAAGGCGAGATCATGAACCGTATATAGCAACAGCGCAAAGTGCTTTTGCTAACCTACGCCACCTATGGCGGCGGTGCGACATTACTCTCGCCCTGAAGGGTAGTGTGTACAATGCAGCGGTACGTTCGACGCAACTGTACTGTTACGAAACCTGGCTCCTAAGATCGGTGGACATGAAGAGTCTAGTTACGTTCGACCATCGGTGCCTTTGAAGTTTGGCTCAATTCTGGTGGGAACACCGCGTGAGTAACGAGCGTGTTCGACGCCTTGTTTACGGCACTGGAAAAGGAAATAAACCGCTCAGCACCGTCATTTCACGCACCAGGCTCCGATGGCTGGGCCACGTATTGCGCATGCCAGCGCACCGACTTCCGCGACGTGCGCTTTTTGCCCATCGGGGGTGTGGATGGAAGAAGAAGAGGGGTGGGCAAATGATGACTTGGTCGACCTGAATGAAGGCCCTCACTTCGGAGCTGGAATCAGTTGGAGCTTCACGGCCCCCTGGTTGGGGTCCAAAAGACGGCGAACACGTTTGGCCAGATACACTTGCTGACATGGCAAGGGGCCGACCTCAGTGGCGTTCGTGCTGTGAGTTTCTTTGCCCCACCCCATCCCTTTTAGCTTCCCCCGCCAATCACCATCTCCTTTCGTAGCGTAATATAATTTTACATGATAAGTTTTCTTTTGCCTAGTAGCCGGCTAGTAGCTTACCGGAACGATGCCTATCAGTTGCTGTTAGCTCAGCTGGCACGCAACTGTTGTATTTATTTTCCTTTGCCTTTATACATTGCGGCATAATAGCTGAGGTGTTTCCCGCCTCTAGCTAACGTGTATGATGATGATGATGACTGGCCTCGCCATCTCATATATGTTGGTAAATGGCCACATTTTGTCGGGCTATGAGGGACGCCGATACGTCAGTTAGGGAGAATAATTTAACAAAATAATGTAGGAATTTGACAGAGGGATGGATACAAGCCATACTAACCTAATTTCCGTGCTGTCATCTTGTACAAACTTGGCGCAAGTAACATCACCCATATCCAAGATGCTGGAATAAAGCTCATTCTTCTTTTGATCCACGATGAAAAGCGTAACACGCTCCGCTTTGACAAGCTGTTTGGCGTGTTCCTTTGAAGCAGGGAGAAAGGAAGTAGGAAGGAAGAATAAATCTCGTTAACTGCTAAGACCATCGTCTATTGGGCAACTTGAAGATAACTGAGAGGCAATCAGGTTTACCCCAGTGGTTTTATAGGACATTATTGGGTAAAATAAGTTGTGAAATTCTCGGGGAGTGCCGACGATTCAGACAAGTTATCAACTGGCCGGCCATGAGCCAACTCACGTGCCTATAGGGTCATTGCTATGTGAACGTGTCATTACCAATTATCTCTTCTTTTGCTCAGTGTACAGTAGCATAAACAAACGAGATCACATTGTAGTAGAAGATGTCCAACGAACATTCACAAAGCGTATATGAGGTACCGCATCGAACTTAGTATATTATGAACGATGTGAGAAACATAAATTCGATCCCATGTGGTTGAGACGCATGAAGCACAACCTAATCATATTCTTTAATGTTCTGCAAATAAAGTTGCATATTTCCAACCTTAACATGGCCATAACGCAACCATCATTACATAACACACAAAATATAGAAAATTCTGCAGTTGAATGCGGGACGATGACCACCGAATAGGATAATATCTTCATTAACAGACATACCAGAATCTAGAACAAATTCCCATATGAAAAAAGGCTTACAAATCAGAGCACGATTTTCGCAAATATTTATCCGTGCAAAATCTGGTCTACCTATTGAGACGTCACATAGCAAATATGAAAGCACACAAACGATGTAAAGCACTTCTATGATCCAGAAAAGACTCTATAACAGTGTAAAGATTGCAGTAGGAAGGCCACTACACTCACTGTCTTTGTCTTCTACACGGTTATGCCAACCAGATTGTTGCATACACGTATATGTCTCGAAGGGATGGGAAATGCCTCCTAAATTAGGAACAGATCAGCATATACAGAAATGGCCATGCTCTTGCACGAGTGCATGCTGACAACAATTCGTAGCCCTTTAGATCTTTTTGGGCCATCCTGGAATATTTCTACAAGTGAGCTGTCGGATGAGAACATGGATGATAACACTTACGGAAGTCAGAGTCAAACTTGATGTTCAATGCCCGGCGGCCACAGCATTTCACACTCCACCGAAGCTCCAGCTTTTCTTTGACCTGGTTCTTCATTCAGCCTCGCAGCGTTCAATGTTCGCACTATGATGCAAATCGGACGGCAAGCATGCCTGACCCTCACTCTTGAGACTCTCGCGGTAGACATCTGTTGCCTCTCAGAAACTAGATTGCATAAATCCATTACCGTCATCAGAATGGTTTCGCCTGCAAACTCTGACGTCCTATACTATTTGCGCCTGTCCGGCGACCCAGAGCATGCCGCTTCTAGCCAGCTGGGGTTGGGGTTACTCCGAGTGACAAGACCGAGTCCACTCAGCTTGCTTAGAGCCCAGTCAACTGTCGGCTATGTGCAGCTAGACTTCGAGGTTCATGTAAGTTAAGTAAGCGTCGAGATGATACACACGCTTTATTTGTCGTTTCCGTCTTCGCAGCCCGGATGAAGTCAAGGATTGGTTTTACAAACAACTACATGACCTTTTGCGTTCCGCTAAAAGTCTGCTACTGTTATCCTTGCGGAAGACTTAATGCACGAGTGGACCGCCAGGAGAGCACCAAATTTGGGGTAGTGTAGGCTACGGTAACAATAGGTCAGACAATGGAGACAGACTACTGCCAGTTTATTATGATCAGCGCCTATTCGTTTCGAGCTCCAGTTTTCGACACTCGAAGAGACAGACTGCTACCTAGCGCACGTATTCTCAAACACAAGAGCGGTCCCAGCTTGACCACATCGTGATAAGCTACATATGGCTTGGAAGTGTATCAGACTGCCGTTCGCATTAGTCAACTTGTCTGGACTCCGATCACGCATTGGTTCGCGTTAAGTTATGCATGCGTTCCGGAGGACCGCCTGGGCGTAAACATTACCGACCTGTGATGGGAGTATACACTCGAACGAACGTGCGGTGCCAGCCCAGCAAGGAAGCCGTTAGGTTGCCGCAAGGAAAGGCGGCAGCTGATTGGGACGTTCACACGTTTCTCGCATGAACGCTGATTGGCCAACAGTGGACGCATTGGAGTGAGTTTGTTTGACTGAATCAAAGGAAAAATGTCATGCATTCACAAAGGTCGTTAATTGTGGATCCAACTAGCTGTATATACCGATATGTTTCACTCGCCTTCTGCCTGCGTTTTCGCCTGGTCCGTTGTTT